GCGGGCAAGTCAACCACCGCAACCTCCCTCCCCACTAACCAGCAACTCCTCAAACTGAGATCGATAGTCTCTAGGATCTCAGGACCCTTGAAGACGAAGAGCTTCCAGTCGTCGCGCGGGGGTGGTTTGCGTGCTTCGGCAGGCTCGTGGTACTTGAGCGCGATGGCCGTCCCATCTGCTTGTGTAACGGAATTCGACGCCGCTGCCAACAAGCCCGTGGTTGAGAAATTAGGTTTCTGCTTGTCCTTCTCCTCTGCAACCACCACCGCACCTGAACCAACACCTTCCGATCCCCCATTCGCCTGGAAGGACGAAGCTTGTGACGGCAATGGCCCCTTGGCCTTCCGACTAACCTGACCCTCCCCTTGTCCTTGTCCTTGTGTCGCAGAGCCTTCCCTCTCTCTACCCTTGCTGCTGCTACTCCGATACGGGGACCGCTCTCTCGTGCTTCTGTGCTTCGATTCGCGATCACTGCTTTTCCTTCTCGATGATTCGTGTGCTGGGCTTCGTGATCGTGATCGTGATCTCGATCGAGTTCGGCGTCTTTTGCTCTCCCTCTCCCCATCACCATGTCTGTCCCTCCCCTTTCCATTCCCACTATCTTCACCCCGTCCCCGCGCATCTCCAACGACTTTCTCCCTCCTCTCTCTCCGTCTTCGGCGACGTCGCTCTTCTTCCGAATCGTAGGACACCGAACGGCTCTTTTCCCTCCTCTGCCGCTCCCTACTCCTCTCCCTGCCTCCGTCTCTATCTATCCCACTAGATCTATCCATCCTGCCCGTAGCCTCGCACAAGACCCTTCTGTCAGTCCGTCCGTCTCGATTCGCTACTTCGTGTTGGCGTACCTCCAGGTTGGTAAGCTTAATGCGCCGCGTAAGAGCCTGACCTGGTTGGCGTTTGCGTTTACGCGTACAGTCGCGCTTGAGTCATAAACCTAAGTGCAGGTGTCGGTGCAGGCGGGCAGGGAATAAACAAGGCAGAGCAGCTATGTGAGGCTGTATTCGAATTGAAGCAAGGTCCTTCTCATTTCCGAGGTGTTTTGGTGTTTGTTGGAAAGGCGAAAGCGCCAATCAGGAATCCGGGCGTCTAAATTTTAACCTTAAGTTTTAGGCCTTAGCGCTCAGCTACAGGGGCTGTAGACGCTGGGAACGCTGCATGGAGGTCTGAGGCGATTGTATTGGTTCGATCGTTGGTGAGATTTCTGGGCTTTTGTTGTTGGTCTTTGTGGGCGTTGTCCGATAGGTTCTGGATTGACGCGCGCGTTAAAGTTGTGTAAGGGGAAGTCTGAGAAGTGCCGGTCACGTGAGAGAGGTTCTCTGTTGATTATTGTGATGTGGAGCAGGACCTTGATTTGCCCTGCTTATGTTTGTAGAAAGCGGAAAATGTTGGACCACAGGGCTACAAATGTCACTGTCAGTGCCGTCTGTATCTTAATTGAGAAAAATTACAACATCTAATAAACATTCACCTCGAAAAACATGATGTGACTTGCAAGTGGATCCCAGATTCCTGGGTGCCAGCTGGGAAGAAGTCAATCGAAATTTGCTTTTTCAGTGGGAAAGTTCATTAGTGTGAATATTTGGTGCTATGTCCTCGGTAGTAACATTCCATCAATTGGATAACTCGTCGTTCTTCGACAGGTTGTTTACTTCCAAATCTTCGGACTCTCAACTTTCTTACAGAGTACTCGACTTCCATGGTTTCTAAGACTGCAGCCCATTCAATATCTCACTAGTATTACATCATCAGCCTGCATTTAATCCAAGCTTTCCGCAGTCCTCTTTCAGTGTACGGGTCAGCGAAAAAGGTCGGTCGGTCTGTTGTCCTGCCTCGATGATAAGCGAGATTTTGATTGGGCATAGGAAATTCCATGGTCCTCAACCACAACCCCCATCACGACCTTTCCACCTTACACAAGGCATCCTACTCCGAACTATCGTTTAAGAATGTTTCATATGCAATTTCTACTAGATAGACTTACTTCGGAATTCAACCAAGAAATCTTCATTTTGCGCCTCTCAATCAGCCTCAGTTAGCATCCAAGGCGCCTGTACCTGGATTCACAGCCTCAAAAACTACCCACCGCTTCTTCTCACCCAACACCGTATTTTCCTCTCGTCATCAAATCTCCACACTCACCACCAACTGCGCATCAAGCAGAAGCACGGCTGCGGCTTTGGGGCGTCGACATTATGTGATAACATCGCCAGGCCGCATGCAGGGGACCAGTTGGAATCCGAGGGCGGTTCCAGACGAAAATCTATGGCGTCTCACGCGCGACGAACCCATTGACGCGACCACCGTCCTATCCAATGCGCTTCCTCGCATCTCCTCAATATCCTGCAAATCATGCTCCGGCTGATCTCTCGATCGAATGGCACAGCCTGGAATGAAACATCCTGTTCGTTGGGTTGGGACCACACTGCACAAGTCACTGTGCAGGGAAAGGCGGGGACCACCAGGACCCAAGTTGATTCCGCCTGAACCTGCTTTACGTTTTCTCATATATTCTGCTCCCGTACCCATTTTTAGTTTTTTCTTCTTGTTGTTTTTCGGCTTGTGTTGCGGCTTTGAGTTTTGACGGATATTCTGCGTTTGGGGGCGACTTCAAATGTGATCAATCAGGTTCAACATTCACACTCGCTTACTTCCAACGACTGTCCATATCGTCTTGGGATTTGCCTCGGAAAGAAATTACCTTGGAGAGAAGAGATCAGGCGTCCTCAAATGCCCACATCCAATGAACTCGCGATCTTCTGGAACTACAATCGCAATGCCACATGTCATCTCTCAATGGCAATCCGACCACATTCCTCGGAGAGATCTGGACATTCGCGGATCAACCCAACTGCAAAAGGCAACATCGTCCGAATTTCTAAGACCCGTGCAGATATCAATACGCAGATCTAGAAGAGCTGGAGGAGTAAGACCAACTCCAAGCTTGAAATTGCGTGCAGCTCGTGACGATGCGTGTTGGGATTATGGGCCGAACAGTGGGGACTGGGAGCAAACAGCCTGGGAACAATCGGGTGGAGGACGAACTCCTTCGTCTTCTGTGGAGTCTGTTTTTGAAATGTACTCATCTAGCTCTTACGACTCGCCCAATTCGTCAACCAATTCCTCTTTCATTGCTGAGCTCGAGGATACGGCAATTGTCACGAGACCTTCGAGAAGATCCGCACCGCCTGCCTCCAACAAGATGGTCTATATCTCACCTTCGAGTATGGAATTTCAAACATCAGATTTGAGTGTAAGTCGCTCTCTTTGGAGTCTTTTCACTTTGCTGACAGTATTCTAGGCAAGAGCTGTTATAAAAGTAGTCGATGAAACCATCGCCGCAATCGAGGACAGCAACCGCCAACTTCTCTCCCGAGCAGTTGCAGCGGAAGAAACAGCCAAAGCACTAATGGAGCAAAACTCTCAACTCCAGCTCAAAATCGAGCGGTGCACCAGAAATTCCCGTGCAAGAACGGCACCCTCTTCACCCGTCTCACGCACCCGACCAAAACGCAACCAGGATCCCAACGACACAACACCACTCTCAGTCTTCAACGCTACAATCGATGAGCTAGTTGTAACACCCAGACCGGTCAAAAATAGGTCTCACAGCGCACCAGATAGACCACCTCCTCCGTATCCTGATATGCATTCTTCGTTGTGGACTCAACCGCCTCTTTCTGCTCCTGCTCAGACGGAATTGATGCCAAGTCCTTTCAACAACAATTCAAATCACCATAGTTTCCCAGTCCGAAGTCAGGGGCTGCAATCACCGACTTACTACCGCCGTCCGCCATCTCTACCTACCACACCACGGCCGGCTCAGCTCCAGTCTCAACCTCAGGCGCAACCACAACCACCCCAAGTCCAGCCATCAACACAGCTCCGTTCCCCTTTTCGCTCTCCAGGCTTCCAAGCCCCAGTTCGCCCGCCACCACTTCTAACACAGAGAGAAGTACTCCACCACAATGCCAACTGCCGCATCACACCAGCGGCATCAACCCCACACCTCCGCAATCCCAGTCTAGAGACACAGTTCAGGAATAAACCGCTCCCACCTCTCGGTCCAATGAGTCCCAGTGTTCTGAGCGGGCTAGTGGAGATTGGCACAACGAACGGCGTTGACGAATGGGGACGAGAAGTCAAAAGTGATGGCACTGGAAGACGGCGAAGGGGGTTGAGTGATCTATTCAAGAAAGCTAAGGAGAGTCCGATGTGGAAATGAATCGTTGATACATAACGCGGTGTCATCGCGCTTGTTTTGGGGTGACATGTGCATAAATTGGTTTGGAGCACCCAATTTGGAGTTGGGTGCGGCGTTTTCGGGAAGGCAAACGGTGGTTGGTTATGCTGACCAGGTATTGTTGACTTTGTACCAGACGGATGAAACGAACACGTTGAATAATGAAATGTATTTTCTTCTTGCGTCAAGGTTTCATATTAATTGTTCTATAGAAAATTCATGACTTAGTGAGCAGCTTACTATGAAACGCAGATGCCTTGTTATCGGTTCCTCACAACACACGTCCAAGCTACGAAACGGTGCATTTTTGGCGATGAGGCTGCGACCTTCTCGAAAGGGGTAGAATTTTCAAAATCCTGTCACGAATTCATTCTAGATAGTAACATAAAACACCTTTCTGGCCTCCAATTCACCATCCACCCAGTCTATCTCGGCCCTCAGTGACCAAACCCCAAACCTACCTCATCCCTCATCGCCAAATCGAAACCAACACCAAAACAAACCACACACAAATCCCCCGCCATGGCAACTACAACAGAGATTCAACACCGTGCCAACGCAATCTACACCACGCTGTTCGGACCATCCCGAGATCCCGCGAGCGAAGAATACAAAGCTGCGCTCGCGACGATGAAGGAAGTCGATGAGAAGTACCCGCCTGAGACGTATGCACCGCTCGAGGAAGTAGCTTAAACTTGTAAAGCAGCCGAGAAAATACAACTGGTAAAAAAGAAACACTTTTTTCAATTGAAGCCAGAAGCGCCCGACGAGAGGCTCGAACTCTCAACCTGTTAATAGAATTAGTTGCGTTGTTCGGAGAAGAACTGAAGACGAAGGAGTTTACCTTGGGCTGTTGTTGAAGAAGATCTTCGTAAAAGGCCCACGCGCTAACCAATTGTGCCAGCCGGGCGGAAACAGTTTAAGCTGCTGATGTTGTCGGATTTCTCTTATTTCATTATATAAAAGAAATTAGAAAATGTGGCCTTTGTGTGGCAGGTCCTGGTGGGCATGATTCACTCTGACCCCTCACATTGGCTAAGCGACCCTATGGCAACAACTCCTGCGGATTAGCGAGCCTTGGATCATGCAGACTATTGCGTAAGCGTGAGACGAACCCTGGGGCTGTGTTGTGCATGATGGATTAAGAAAGTGGGGGACATGTCACGTTTTTGAAATCCACGTGAGCACTTCATCACTTGACGACTTGAAGCCCTTTTCGAGGTTCGCAGAGACATACATTCAAGGGCCTTGCAGATAATTGGCCTTTGAACGTTGTCTGCTAATTGGGACTTATGTCATGGCTCTGTTGGCTCCGGAATCGTCAAGTGCTGGTCGAGAAGCCGGATCGCCTAGTCTTGGATATCACTTGAACATCAAAAGTACGCCTTATTTATTTACCACCAAATAAAACAAAGCAAGCATAATACGATAAGGTTATTTATTAATTCAAAAATCATAGAAGCACATTGTTTAGAAGAAACGTGGAAATTCTACAAGTGAAGATCGAATCAATTCACTTCGGCTCAAGGGAAAACTCTGCAAATTCGTCAAGTTCACTGCAATCTACTACAACCATCTATCTGCAAACACTCTGCCAAATCTCACAGCACCAGATTCTGTGCCTCTCCTCTCGCCCAAGCCTCAATATTCCCCCCTACAGTCCTCCTCAATTTCTCAATACTGCTGTTCGCCCACCACGCAATATGAGGACTCAAAATCAATCTCCCATCAAACTCACTCCCCTCCTCCCTCCATTGATTCGCTGCTTTAACAAGCACATTCTCCATTCCCGCAGGCTCTTCAATATAAACATCCGTAGCCGCTGCATGAATCTCCTTATCTTTCAACGCTTGCACCAGAGCGGCCTCGTCGACAATACCTCCACGTGCAACGTTGATCAACAGAGAATCTTCTCGCATGAGTGCGAACTCCGGAGTTGATAGCATTTTCAGTGATTCTGGCGAAAGTGGGAGCGTTAGGAAGATAGTGGTGCTAGTCTTGAGACATTCTGTGAATGAGATACGACCTTCTCTGATCGTAGAACTGTTCTTGCGTTCTGCGAATTGCACTTTGGAACCCAGAGCTCGGCATATATTCGCTACTCTATTTCCTGAGATTCATTAGCTGAGTCTCCAAAAGCCACCGCGAAGCTGGTCTCTCCATCCTTTTCCAAGAAACCATTCCCGAGAAAAATGTGAAGATTCGAAACTAACTCACCAAGTTCACCACCCCCAACAATTCCCACAACCTCCTCCCTACAAGTCCCAGGACACTCCCCGAACTCCCCCTTCAAACTCCCCGTCTTCCCCCACTCCACGCCCCCAACCGTTAAGCCATGCATCCTAACGACCTTCCTCCTGGCAGCAAAGAATAGCGCAATAGCATGTTCAGCCACACTCTCCACACTCGCAGCAGGCACATTACACACTGTAACACCAAACTTCTTACACGAAGCGAGATCGATCATGTCGGTGCCGATGGCTAGGACGGCGATGAGTTTCAGGTCTGGACATGCTTGCAGCGTTTCCTCTGTGATAGGAATACGGGTTGTGATGGCGACGTTGGCTGGTGTGGGAGAGGTGAGGTGTGATATCACTGTAGGTGTGGGAAATGGTACTGAAGGGTAGCTGATATAGGTGTGTGTGAAGGAAGGGCTGAAGATTGGATCTGGGGTGTGAATCCCATCCAAGCGGACGATATGGAGGGGTTTTGAAGTATCCATTTCGCAAGCTTCTCTAACGCAGAGGTGAAGAGGATTGTGAAAGTGGGAGAAGAAGCAGCTTGTCGGAATGTCTTCACAAAGGCGCAGTCACGTGTATGACTAGTTTCTCCACTTGTGGGATTTGAGTGGTGATCTATAGACAAATACAGGTCTAGAAATTACATGCAAGAACACCTTCACCATGCATCCTCATCTATATGTACATACTTCTACAGGTATCTCTTCTCTTCCTTCTCCTCATACGACTGGACTTGATCTCCAACACGGAAATCAAACCAATCACAAAATCCCATTCCACACTCACTACCCTTCTTCATCTCTTGAACATCTTTCTTGACGTTTTTCAGTGATGAAAGCGTACCTAGATATGTTAGCTAAATTCAAGCATGGGTTGGAGTAACATACCATCAAACACCTTCTCACCCTTCCTGAGAACCCTAACTTTCCCTGCCCTAGAAACTGTACCGTTCCTCACTTTACATCCAGCAATTGCTTTATGTTGTCGTCCCTTGACATTGATATCGAATATGAGAGCAATCTCAGCTTCACCCAACACACGTTGTGTGATCAATGGCGGAAGATGTTTGCTCAATTCCGCTTTCACATCATCTACCAATCGATAGATAATGTTGTGATCAATGATTCTGACCTTGGCCTGTTCAGCCAATCTCGCAATATTAGGCTCGATAGATGTGTTGAAATTGATCAACAATCCCTTAGCTCCTGCGGCATGCTCAACATCGAATTCGGAAAGTTGTCCAACTCCATATCGAAGAATATGCGGCTGAACTTCCTTGTTACCCAGGGCGGAAATGCTGTCAAGAACAGCTTCGACGGATCCACTGACATCTCCTTTGATGATGAAGTAGACTTCCTTCGGTCCAGTTTGCTTGTTGTCTTTCGCAACCTCGACACGTGCTTCATCGGCATTTTTCGCAGCTTCAAGAGCAGCCGCCTCAGCCTTCTCGCGTTCACGCTTCTCTTGCTCGGCTTTTCGGTTCTCGTTGATGGCCTCCATATCTTCAGCCATTTTATCACGCTCGTCCTTCTCGAGTCTGTAGTCCACAACACTCTTGGCCCTACTTTCATCAGATGCTTGCAGAACTTCATCACCAGCAAGTGGCTGTTCTCTCCACCCATCAATCTGAACAGGCATTCCTGGACCGGCTTCCTCAATCTCAACACCAGCTTCATTCCGAAGACATCGAATTCTTGCCCAGGTCTTGCCTGCAACGATGAAATCCCCCGGTCGCATTGTACCCCTTCGGACAAGTACAGTAGCTACTTTGCCCATAGACTTGATACTTGCTTCCAGAACCCATCCTTCTGCTTGTCCATCCTTCTCTGCTCGCATATCGAGAATTTCAGACAAAGTAACAGCAGCTTCTTCCAGTTCTCCCATACCCTGACCAGTCTTTCCGCTGACACAAACAACCTGAGTTTCACCACCAAAGTCTTCAACATCAACACCATGGCGAGCAAGATCCTGCTTGACACGGTCGATATTTGAATCCTCCTTATCGATTTTGTTGATAGCGACAATAATCGGAACCTTCGCAGCTTTGGCATGATTGATAGCTTCGATGGTTTGTGGCTTGACACTATCATCTGCTGCCACTACCAAGATGACAATATCCGTAACATTCGCACCTCTCTGGCGCATGCTAAGGAAAGCAGCATGACCAGGTGTATCCAGGAATGTGATGACCTTTCCTGATGGCATAGGTACCGAGAAAGCTCCAATATGTTGAGTAATTCCACCATGTTCTGTAGCAGCAACAGAGGACTTTCGGAGGTAATCCAGCAATGTCGTCTTTCCATGATCAACGTGACCCATAATCGTCACCACAGGAGGTCTTTGGGGTAGTGATGATGGATCAGCAGCTGGTTCCCTCGCCTTCAAATCTTCAGACTCTCCTCGATCAATGAGCGGCTCATAGTTGAATTCTTGTGCAATGAGTCCGGCATTTTCGGCATTCAAAATGTGATCATGACCTGTTTCCTCAAACCCAAGTTCTTCCATCTTGGAGGCAAACTCCTCAAACCTAACCTTAAGTGCCACAGCCAGATTCGATACGCTGATGTACTCAGGTAGAAGTATTGGGGTGGGAGCGGCAGCTTTTGCAGCTTTCTTTTCAGCCTTCTCACGTTTCCGCTGCGCTTTCTCTTCAGCCCGAGCAATAGCAGCGTCGAGATCCGCTTCGTCTTCTTCATAGTTGACGAACTGCTCACGTCTCCTGGCCTTTTCTCTGTCTTTACCCTTCGGCACCGCTTCATAACTTGGCTCGGAAGGTTGTCGTCCGCGAACCTTTCGTTTCTTTTCACGTCCTGGCCGTGAGCTAGTCTCCTCGTCCTCCTCGGGGGTTTCTTTCCTTTGCCTGACATTTTCGACAGGTCTGGAATTTCTTTCAAATCCTGGGATTGTATCTGCCTCCGCAATGGACGTCATAGGCCGAAATGTGACATTGGAACTGGACTCTGATGAGGCACTTAGTTCTCTCCGTTTCTGCACTTCCTCAAGGACAGGAGACCTTTCGGTAGCAGGGCGAGAGAAGTCGACCCGTGGTGCCGCATTAGACTGCGAAGGTACTCCATACGAAGGCCTTCCAGAGAATTCCCGATCCTCTGGTCTTACAGAAATTGGGGTATATCTCGCAAATCTCGCTTGCTCTTCTCTCTGTGACCTTTCTGCTACGAAGCTGTTTCCCCAAGGCCGTTGTCGCTCCTCTCGTTCCTCCTTGGCAGCTCGAGCTGTAGCGGCAGAATCCCTCTGCGATCTCAATTGATTCCAATTCGACTGATCCTTTTCAGTCGATCTTGAAGGTTGCCAGTCACTATCGCCCAGCATATGTCGTATCCTTGGCTTCACTGTTCCGTTTCTGATTTCATCCAGACGTGCTCGGTTTGCTTCGTGTGCATCCAACGCCTTTCGCCTTGCAACCTCCCGTTGTGCTGCTTGAATTCTCTCTGCCTCTGTTCGCGGCACTAATCTTCCATTACGAGTAGTCTCTTCTCCAGCCCCTCTGCCTTGGGTAACCCGCCTTTCTTGCGCGTGTGCTTCCCTCGCAAGCATCATTTCTCGCGCTCGTTTTTCGTGCGGATCGAGGTCGTAAGTCTCGACATTCGGTTTCGGGGGCTCTGGTTGAATGGCTGTATAGGGCAACTCCCTAGGAATTGGTCTCTCGACA